GATTTGGTGAATATGTATTGATGAGTTTGGGTAGTGGGTGGGTCACCTTGACAGCTTAACTCCAGGCGATGACGATTCCTTACCCTTCAACTAATGAAAAAAGTGTGAAACTATTCGGTTAAACGACAATCTACTTGAAAAGGTGACTAGAACGAAGCACTAGAGTAGCAGCCATAGGAGCACAAATCGGCTACTGTTTTACCTCAAATTCAGGCTAAAAAGGAAGAATAAAACCTCTTCGTAGGTAGATGAAATGAGATGGCTCGGGGGGAGGGAAGAGGTATTTGGTGACCGAATGCAAGGTGCGAAGGAAAACGGACTTACCGAGTTGCTATTGGTTTGGGAGGTGGAGGAACTTTAATCCGGCCATCGTTTGGAGCCCAAAGTCGGCGAAGGGTAAGTTGGGGCAGTAAGACTGGAGACAAAGATGAAGGGATTACTGGATGAACTGGCGAGGGTGTGGGTGCCGGTGTGGCCGGTCCGGGTGATGGCAATGGGCCAGTGGGTGCGTTTGGGCTGTTTAATTCCTTGGGCGTTGTGATTGGTCGAGGTGTGCTGAATGGGACATTCTTACAGGAGAGATTCGGCGCACCGGGAGTGTGTGCCTCTGGTAGATCGAGCATTGGGTGCGGAGGAAACAAAGATGTGGGAGGAATAGGTGCGACTGATGCACACAAGCCGACAGTGCGTAAAGCTGCGCTCAACGACGGTGGTAGTCGGATGGGCTGAATGAATAGACGAGGAAAATAGAGCAAGACATTAGATACTGCTAGGGTGGTACCGTGAACATATAGCAATAGTGATAGCCAGGTAGAATAACGTTAGCCGAACAAATTGAATGCAACGGAATTTTTTTTGAGTCCATGGCGCAGTGGTTTACTAGCTATCCCCGGCGTGCATTGGACCCTATGGTCCGAGGTTCGATCCCCGCCACCGCCAACCAACTTTGGAGGTAGGCAGCTTTGTTGTCGCCCGGTCTTGCACCACGCCTGAGCTAGCGGGGCCTTATGTGGTTCGCCAATCCAATCCATGGGGCTTAGGTTGCCGGTTACCATCACTGAACAATAGGTCTTCTTGACTATGGGGCCCGCCCCAAATGCTGTTCATCACACACTGGTGTAATAAAAAAACCTAACAAATGCAAAAAACGGTGATATTCACAGCAGGATAGTACATGGTGTATGAAAAACCTTGGAAACCACACTGCAGTTGGAAACAGCAAATGAAATAAATTGGCAAATCGACAATAACGAACAATTCGAATTGATAAACATTATGCGTACAGATTGGTTCAACACAGACTAGACTGTTTTAAAAGCAAAACCAGCATTCCGGGAAATAGAATAATGCAACACCATTTTGCATTCATTGTTGCTATCCCTTAAATTCCCAATAAAATGATAACTCAATCATCAGCCAAAGACGGAAGTGACACCAAAACGTCCCGAAGGAACGAAACTCGATTAGTCGAATCCTGACGCCAGTGGGTAGCGGTGTCGTTCAACATCCAAACCAAATGGATTAAACTGCGTTCACTATGGCATAGAGACTGTCACTTTTTTCATTGTGATAAACGGACCGAATGAAATTTATGTGGTCATCCACATCCCGAACTACAATCATTTCACTTTATATCCAACTTGGTGGTCTGTTACATCAGACCTCAAATATGGTCTGAATGAATTGGTCCCTGTTTAAGATGTGTAATCAAACAACAATTCAATGAAATACGTGTCGAAAACTGTATTCTGGATCCGCGGTTAGGTCGGACAAACGAAAGACATAAGAAGAGTTGCCATCCAAACCCCCCCCCCCTCTTTCATGACAAATCTTCAAACGATAAGCACGTCCTTTCCCCATCAATCATTCGGATTCAGGTGGTGTTATGGGGGATAGAAATGCTGGTCAACGTTTTTTTAAATTTCTTTCTTTTGAACATTATCGAGCTGTTCATGACTATTATCACCACAGGAATGATAAGATTTACGAGATGATGCGTCAGACAAGAAGTGAAAGAGCGTAGCTACAAAGGAAACCTGCATTCGAGGCAAATATCGCGACGCTGATGAAGACTTTGAAAGTCTTCTCTCAACTAGTTCACATGTAACTATTCCCCGAGCAGATCACAGGCCTCCACGGCTGGTTAATCCTATCCATCAGTAGTAGGCTCGAAAAGTATCTAAAGCACGTGACTGAATGCGCTAGTGAGCTAACGGATCGTGGTGGTGGAAGTGACTACTTTGATACAAGTATACGTTTGTGGAGGGGGATCGGATCGTAGTGCTTCAGCCTACCATCAACACTCTCTCCAATTCGCCTAATTCTTTTAACATCAATTGAGGAATTACACATGAGGGAGCACGTCGCGATGAAGTCACAGACATGTTTTTCTATTCCTCGATCACCACCCCATCCCGGTTCCCTGACCCTTAGTCTATCACGGAATGGCGAAATTATGATTGCAAGTAATCGGGGATGGAATTCGCAATAGAATAGTGGTTAATGTACCACGAGTTACTCACAGTAGTTCTTTCTGTTGTTCGATTCGTTTCTACTCTGCTTAACTGGATCAAAAAGATTAGCTGAAAAAATAGTTGTAAAGCGGCGAAAATACTGAGAAGGAACGAAAGTCGTACAGACCTTCCTCTATGCTCTAAGCACGCGGATTAGACAGTCTTGTGATCAGTCACTCACCCGTTCCGATTAAATCGCATTCATGTGCACACAAAGGGAATCAACATACGTTACGCATATCATGTGCAAGGTTACAGAACGTCTATTGTATACCGGGGTCTTCAATGTCCCGATAAGTAACGTCAACTACAGAGGATGGATTGCTCGGTCAGAGAATATGGGCTTGGATTTTATGAATAATGCCCCAGGGTGGAGGGACAATTGACAATCCAAATTAAACGGGCATATGTGATGGAGATGGTACAGAGAGAGAGAAAAAGGGACGGTTGATATGGGTACCAAATAGGGCACCCGGACATCAGGGCAACATAGCCGGTACGGTCGTAGTAAGGCTTTGAGTCCGTTGTCCGTCGGCCTCAGACGCACCATTGTGCACAACATACAGGAGACAAGCATTTGGTGTCTGACCCGACGACGGGACACGGAGAAATGCACCTGTTACCCATCATTCTTGCACGAATCTGCATGAAACAATGATCGGGTTGACAATCTACTGCCACCCACGACCCAGTATTATAAGTTGTAGGAGTAATTTTATACGTTTCAAACAGTTTCCACAGTACAACAACACTGGTCACAGGAAAGTAGTGACCCGCGAATAGAATGCAACTGTCACAGTGGAACAAAAATAGACGTGTTTTATCACTTTTCGTTCCAATCGAATGTGAACTGCATGGGATATTTGCATGCCTTTATTCATGGGCTGTAATTTCGGGGTGCCTCATTTTACATAAGCATGATAGACGGCAGCTGAGATAAATTTTAATCTATAAGGCATATTATGAGATAAAGAAATCGGGCAAAATTGATCCCGTGACTTGATAAATACAGATCATCGATTTAACTTCCTCGTCACCTCAAAAGAAGGTAGGATATGTCAGGATTTACTAGGCGCAGTTGATGTACAGAATAAACATCGAATTCCATTACAATCCAACTGAGTTCAGTTTATTTTTATTATTAGTAGTAGTAGCGGTGTCTTGGTTTAGTCGTTATCACCGGTGGGCTCAAGATTATATGGTCCAAGTTTCGAGCCCCGCCACTGCCACCCAACTTTGCTGTCGTCCGGCTCAGTAGCCACGCCTAACCTAACGGGGCCTTATGTGGTTCGCCACTCCAAGTCCCGGGGTTAAGGTTACTGGTTTCCACGACAGAACAGCATGTCATCGTGACTATGGGGTTTACCGCGTCAGCTGTTCATCATACAAAATGTGTGTAGTAAAAGAAACCTCGGATGAACTTAGTTGTAAACCTGAGGCTGAATGCTATGCTATGAACATCAAACTAAACAGCAAATAAGCAACCTATTTGACGAGGTGGAAGAGAATGATGAATTCTATTTTTCTATGAGTTGGCACAAGACAAATGACCTTTCGGGTCAAATGAAGAGACCATTTGTTTAGTGTACTATCTTCGGGGGTAGTTCTGGAGTGTAAGCCATGTTGAGGCTGTACTTGAAATCACATTCGTTTGATTACACAAACTAGACCGAGGATCATTTTTGATAAAAAATAAATGTATTTTTACTTTCTTTTCTATTTATTCAATATGCAAATGCACTATCAGCTTTCAGGAACGGGCTGCGGTCAAAAAAGGAGCCTGGGAAAATGCAGAAATCGAGAAGACTGGTAGCGATGATGTGGTTCGAATCCGGGTCACTATTTTGATGATCGTAGCCACTTGACTAGCACCGTCCTATGCTCCATTCAGAGGCACCTAAATGTTGGGCACATTGACTGCTTAGATGCTTAGTGCTACCATCTCCGTACGAGGAAAAGTGTGATGTTGTGCATTTCGCAGACAGGTTTGGTTGAAATCGGAAGCCCGTGTGTTGACTATTTCACCAAGCTAAGAGGTTGTACACACCACTTTATTTCACCCAAGTCATCCTGAAGTATCAAAATCCATCGTTCGAAAGTGTAGGCATCACTATGAGCGGGTTATAATCCCACCAAGACATCTGTTTAAACAACACAACTCCCGTGGATCCTAAGGGAAACCTGCCGGAGTTCCATATGCTTCCAGAAATTGGTGGGTTCAAGAAATGCGAAAAGATCAATGCTGTCAATGCAAACTTGCAGCTCAAGTGATAGGGCACATCCTGCATAAAAACGTTATTAGCATCCATGCGTGGGTTCGAATCCACGCAAGGCTACTGAACCTAACGCAATTCAAACATTGTTTGTCTGCTATGAAATCACCAACACAGCTCACAAAGCTGATCATCTAGTAGTCAAAAGTGAATTCAGTTAGCTCTCCAGAAATTCAGTCAAACCGCGGAACACTTTAGGGACTAAAGCAGCGAGGTACAACAGAGACCTCAGATTACTTACTTGGGCAAATTTTATTTTAAACTCTTCCAGTCGTCGATGGGTTTCCGTGTTGACTGTGCAATCTTTCGGTGGATTATTGTCCAACTCATCTTCGCTACAACCATCGACAGTCTGTGAAAGGCCGGTGTTTACTTTGGTCACACGACCTTGACGTCCGGTATACAGCCGTAAATAGCAGCGCCAATTGTTTGAATCGAATCCCCAGTGGTTCAGATTGTCCACCTCTGTGACCGTATGTGTGTGACCGACAAACTGGTCGGGAGCAAACAATCGGTGACATGTTTGACACTCAATACACTTGGCGGATGGTTCGGTATACAACTCCGGATGTATCAAACCAGACTGACGTCCAAAACACTCGTGCAAGACTGGAATAGGCTCATTCGAATGGGATTGGGATTCGGTGCTGCTGTCACGTTTTCGAGTCAAACCACTATCAGATACCAAGTCAAGTGGTGTCGACTGTGAATCAGTCGTTTCCTGTGAATCTTTTAAGGATGTACTCACAGAATAACTTGGAGTTGGACAAGATTGTTTCATATGTTCTGGATCAATGACTACTTCCAGTTCACCACCACTATGGGAACGACAAACTGTGGGGCCGGAGCGTGCGCTCGTCTGGGCTCGTTCAATTGGATCCGTTCGGTTCCTTATAAATTTGGTGAGGCGCTCGGCATCGCTTTTACGGATTAGTCCACAGGTGGATACGGCTTTAGGCAAGATCCGACGAGCATGGAGCAGTTTCAGTTGAGCCGGTGTACATGTGGTACAGGTGATTTGAAGTTTCGTGCATGCCTCGTCAATCGCTTTCAGATCCACATCATTGAGGACGAAGCGGAATAAATGAGGCAAGCACAAACGTTTTTCGCCCCACACATTAAATCCCATTATCACCTCACCATCTATCAAACTTGGAACAAGTGTACCCGTCTCGGGAACCGGATCGGAATTTACATGTTTAGGTGTATCCGAAGTGCGCCAGGATGAATGCGCGCGATCCACCTGGTCTTTCAGTAGCGGATAGAATGTTGAGCGACAATAGAGTAGAGGATCAGGTGTATCTTTATCCATTCGCATCACAGAATCACACGAAGATGTCCGCGATTTCGAGGTGGCTGGAGAAGGTGGCATTGGTGTAGGCAATTTTGGCGACATAAGACTTCCAAGATCTGGCGGCCGAACCGGAGGCACAGGCGGTAAACATGTGTCATCCACAAATGGCCGAGGAAGGAGTAGTGAGTTTACCAGAGCTTGCTGAAACCAGCCGGGTGAAGCCAAAAGCGGATTGACCGGGGGATAAGACATGTGCGGCTGAGTGGCAGTAGCATCTGGTTTCACCTTATGGGCTCTATACGACGCCAGAATAGTATTCACAAGATCTAAACCGGGCAACCCATGCAGTCGTGAGGGCAAACTTTGTCGAAATCCAGGAGTTTTTCGGGGTGGTGCACAATCGTTTGGGGGTGCTGGTGGCGGTGGTTGTTGATACATAGATAGGTACGGATTGTTTTGAATGGAAAATGTCATTCTGGTTTACATAGATATGAATGGGCGTTTGAACAGGCGAATTACCAGTCCGAGTATAATCCACAAATTAGTGGTGAGTGCAGCAGGAACGCCAGTAACAACATATCAACAGCCGCGACCACACAGTACACCACGGCTACAGTGTATGACAGCAGCGTGTTACGGAAATGAAGCAGATGACAAGGTGGCCCGTGTTTTGTGTTGTACCCACACATACGCGCGCGCTCACATGAACGCACAAGCACATATACACATGTACAGACACAGGCTTACCACGACACAGCACCTTCGTTAGCCTGTCTGTATTGTAAAATGCGAACAGACGAGCTCATGGGAAAGATCTGGAACTGGAATGCGACAGGGTCCAGCTGCGCTACACGCTACGCTACGCTGCGCTGCACGAGCATATACACGCATGCGTCACAGACTGTCTGGTTTTCTGTGTGTAGTGCCTCGTCTGTCCGTTCATCCACGCCTTGACAAACCCCGCCGTTGGCCTGTCCTTACTACCTGAGAATTGCGGAGAAAAACTGTCTCGCACCGACGCATGTGTGGTTCTACACTATTTTTGGCTTTCTAATGGCCTTACACGCTGGCTTTCTTGGTTTAGACCAATCACAGATAAGATAATAAGCTAGGTGCTGATTGGTCGGTCTAAAGAATCAACGTGCACGCCAAATGAGGCTCAGATGCACGCCGTTTTTGTGGGGTAAAAAGTTGCATTCCATGTGAGATGCGGGTGACCGGGGCAGTGCGTTGATGCGACCCCGAAAAAACGGCTTCTGGGAGCAACGCATGGTTTGCACCAATACAGTGCACGCCATTCGGTGCCTGGACAACGACAGCTGGTACAAAGTTCGCGTTTGCCGTGTTAGCCACGTCTAGCCGCATTCATTCGCAAACTCCACAGGTAAGGTAAGGTAAGCTAAACAATCATGGTAAAGAACGGCCTTAGTCACAGCAATCCCGTAACACATTTGGTAGCAGTCCTGTCACGAAGATAAAAATAATCGATGTCGATAGGACGGAACGTCAGTTATCTCGTTAAGTTGTTCCAAATGCACCGTTGTTAAAGTGGACGATGTGAGTCATTCAGCGAACGCTGAGAAGTTCATTGATCACAGTGCGAATGATTATGTAGATCATTTCGTTAACAAACGATCAGATGTTGAGGGCGGCGTAATATTTTACCCGAGTTGAGAGATGATAAAAAAAAGCAAAATACCAGTTTTCATGAAACTTGGTCTCGGGAAATCGATTTTTTGTGAATGGAGTGAGCTTTTAATTGCTGTTATTTTTGTTTGGCCCATTTTCTTCCCATTGAATCGATCCAGTTGCTCGATAAAGTACAATCTCTAATTCAGGTGAGCTTTGTTTAACTACCTCATGGCCATCTAAGTAAACAAAATAGGGTTCTGACGACGACAACAGCTTTCGATTCAGGTGGAAATTAGTGAACATCAGATGAATTCCATCAAAAGTGCATGTGACCAGGGACAAAAATAATTTGGGATTGGGAAAACTAAATCAAGAGTATTCTTTCCGTCCTCGGGGTATTCTTACTTGCCATCAGAGTGGCGCGTGATTCGCCAATCGGTTGGTGTGATATGATTTGATTGCCAACCTCCCTTTGTGCTGTGACGATCATTTAATTCTGAATTTGGCGACAAACCTGCCTACCTTGTCTCCTTCGAGTTACAATGAATGAATACTACTGTCTAACGAGTAATCGATTTAACCTGAATGATGCGGACAATCATAAATTATTCACTACAAAAACATCAAACTAAAAAGATATAAGCCGCCACCATACTCTCGGGAGTATAGAACTGTATGTTCCGCAGCATACAGACCGGCACTGATATAAACATGACCAAATTATGCAAAGAAAACCGGTTTCAAATTGTGTATCTTCATTACTGTTGATAGGTTAAACAAACTAAACAGCTTATTGTTCATTCGTCGTTAAGAGATTGGATCGAATCGGTCTGAATTAAACTGAACTGAATTAGTTGTCTGATGGCCGGATTATGAATGTGATCAAACTTTGTCACGATACTAACTGTCAGTTTAAGTTATTTCATTCCGGTCGTGGAAG